CCCCCCCCTCTCACCTTGAGCTCCGGCAGGGCGAACATGTTGACGAAGGAAGACGACAACGGGGAGGGGGATCCGCTCCCACTCCCTTCAGGCGCGGCCAGGCTCACCACTGAGTCAGCGCTCTCCAGGAACTGGGCGAAGTTGCCCTGTGAAGAGACATGACAGCACCGCAGCCAGCCACAGGGAGACGCAACGCACAAAAACAAGCGAACGATGAGCTAGGTAGCTCTGGTGCAAGGAGAGGGTCCCTAATGCATGCTTCACAAACACAGTTCGCCTCAGGGGACACACAGCAGGAGACTCTTTCATTAGAGCTATGAACAACGAAAAATCAAGGGTATTCCCTGTGAACAAGTTGGTCCAGGATGCGGGCGTGTGTGTGCGACTCGCACGCTCTTCGAGCTTAGAAAGACGGGTGACCGCGCAGCACACCGCAACTGGTTCCAGGCGAGGATGGGAGAATAGCACCGCCGAAATCCTGCCGCTGCTAAATTTACTGGTGTTCCAGCACGGCCAACTTCGAGCTATTGGAAGAACAAGATGTGATCAATCAGAGACTGCGCGAAACAGTTTGCATGCCCCTTGCTTGTTTGCTTAAGTTCGTCTCGAGTGATTCGAACCAAGCATCGAGACGGAAGTAGGGCTGCTCTGGGTTGTTGAGGCCAGCACGTGCTGACGCGGGAGGCGCTGCCAGCACAATAACGTCAAATGATAATCGTACCAACACTTGAGGCAAAGACGACGACGGAACCGGTTTCCAGCGAGATTTCGACAGTTCGACAGCTGGACAGCAGCAACCCTCACCAACCACTGGTGTCTGGCGGCCGTTTAACAACAACTTCGTACGAGCGTCAGCACCTTACGCGTACCTTTGAGTGGCGGAGAGCTAGGAGACGCTCTTCCACGCTGTCCTTCATGTAGAACACCACGCATCGAACAGTGTGCGTCTATTCTCGCCGCAGAGAAGACAAAAACAAAAAAAAGACAACACACATCCAACAAGGAAGGGAAAACACACATCATGTTTTGCACAGAAGGGCACGGGGCGCGGCGAGAGGCTGGAGGTAGCAGTGACACAAAGCGGTATGGTCGTGCCATTTTGTTCATGAACGCATCACAAAAATACCACTTGCTGTGGGTCCCAGGACTGCAACGGATGTGGTTCGAGGTGAATCGAAACCCGCCCACCGCGGGACGAGGCGAGACTCCTTCAGAGTACTCTTCCCGTCACAATGATGTACTCGTATACACCATGTCTCTCTAGGCCGGCCTCACTGTTTCACCGTGCCGCTCACTCTCTCACTCACTCTCACTCTCTCACTGTGTCATTGTCTCACGCTCTCACTCTCTCACTGCTGCATAGGCACTCCCTCACTCCCTCACTCTCGCTGTGTCGCTGTCTGATTGCCTCGCTGCCTCATTGTGCCACTGTGTCACTCTCACCGTGTCGCTCTCCCACAGTCTCGCCGCGTCACCCCTCCCTCTGTGCCACTGTATCACTCCCTCCATGTGTCCTTGTCTAACGCTCTCACCGTGCCACACGCTGTGCAGTCATTATCATCCTCTCACTCCCTCACTTCCTCAGTGTGTTGCTGTCTGACTGACCCATCGTGGTTACTCTCTCACGTGTCGCTCACCGACTGTCTGAGCTGTGTCACTGCGGTATCTCACCTGACCGATACGGTGCGCCCGGTTGAGAGCCTGAGCCTCGTCGGCGGCGCTCCAGACGGGGTCCAGCATATACACCGTGCTTGCGGCGGTCAGGGTTAGGCCTGCATACAGTGTCCAACCAGGGTCCAAGGGGTGAGGAAATAGTTTTTGAAGGGGAAAGGCGTGCTCGCTCTCCGCGTACCGGTTGTCGGCAAGTCAAAACCATCAAGACGAACGGCACGCTGTAGGCAAGGATGACGACATTGTCGACAACCAACCACCACCTCCAGGATAGCGGGGCGAGTACACACGTCATACCACCATGCGAGAACAAACATCATCATTTCTCGCAAACATGCGGAGGCGAGCCTGCACAGAGCAAAGCTGGGGGCAAAGCCTCTAGACCCTAGACCCCTGGGTACATGATCTCGCTCTTTCTGCGAAAAAAAGGCAAAAAACACTCAACCCGAGTCCACACTCATGCATCGTCACATGTCCGTCATAAACACAAGGGCACACAATCAGGGTGGCGGCGGGGAGGGGGTGTACGCATAGTCGTGCATACCGTAGTCGTTAGACCATTGACCTCGCATCCCTACACAGCCGCGACGGAGCACGCCGGGTTCTCACCGGACCAGGCTCTCACATCACCAAGCGCGAAGCGCCGTGAGGTATTCGATGAGTCGCATGAAGGGTGCGCTGCATGTTGCTAAGGGTGTTCGGCATCTTGTGCTTACTTCCTTGCGTACGGAAGCCAGCTGCGTATGACCTAATTTATTTCTGGTGTTCACTTCTAGAGACAGTTGTAAGCACTGGGTAACTGCCACGAGGGTGCTTGACCATTTAACACAACGTGGTGCGATCATCCCCCT